CAACTAGCACACCTATATTAAACGGATTGTGTTGCAGACTATCCTTAAACACTTTACATTATTCATTAATTTGAGTCATCTCATCTACCGAGGGACTAATTGTAAGCAGGTCAATTTGCAAATTTACCAGAGATTTTAAAACTTAATACAATTCTCGATCATTTTCAGTCTAAAAGAGAAAAAAACACATCTATGGACTTCAGTAAGATGCTGAAATGTTTAAAGCACAACTAAAAGAATCTTCTTAAGAGTTAGAAACCCTAAATATAGTTGAAATAAATTGAAAGACAAGAAATCTCTTTAGTTTATATAACTTATTTGACAAGTGTAAATTCATATTGAACTTTTTATTGCATATAATGATTAGTCAGGTATATGATCTTACTGATCAAATTGTGAAGTAGATTGAAAAATATTTTAATTTATGACTAATCAATTGAAAAATGAGTATTTTAATCAATCCACTAAAGTGAGAAATTATTATTGATGTAGAATTTGACTTACTATAGTGTATGTTGATAAAAGGTTCCATAAAACCTTAGAGAATCTCCTAGTTTTGTTTCATACATTTCAAAATATCATGATATTGAAGCAGTGATTAGAACAAGGTCGCCGTCGTCATCATCATCATCATCATCATGAAAAGTAGATAGTTTAACTCTTACAGAATATTTTCAATTGAAAGTAAATACTGTGATCTTTATTTTATACCAGAATGACAGTGAACATTTTGTGATCAAATAATTTAACTAAAACACTTCCAAAGCAATTCTATTCCATTTCTAAGTCTTAACCAACATTTCACACACTCACACTCACACACACACACACACACACCAAAAAAAGAAAAAATAATTCAACTGTAACTAGCTTTAACTTTTCAATGTTATATCATTTATACAACATAACTATTTCCTACACAAGAATAAAAATGGATAAATAATTTCCCACAAAAAAAAAATAAAATAATTTTCAATACAACACGTAAATTGTATCTAAAGAGAAGAAAAAATTACATCAAAATAACAGAAAATATTTATTGTTAAAAGTTGGTATCTCATTTTCTTTTTTATTACGTCAGAATATTGTTATACATAGTATATATATATATAGACTATTGTCTGTAAATTCTCTTTAAGGGTACAATTTTACAAAAAATTCTCATTTAGTTCTCTTTCGTTCCATTTAAGTTTCAGACACAACAAATACTACTTAATTCCTTCTTTTTTTTGTCTTGACAAAAAAGGAAATCTCGGAAGGAAATAAAATTTATTTTACAAAAAAAAACACAACAATTTAAATCAATTTTAATTATTTAACTCGATAGAACTTATCATTTATATTGGATATTGTCATCTGTCTACTTATTTACCTAAAATTGTTACAATCATTTTAGATATCTTAATTGCGAAGGAAATATGAATGATTATCGATTTTTCCAAAGATTAACTTATACTGTAAGGAATAGTACACATGATAATAATAATAATAATAATAATAATAATAATAAAAGTGGCAATAATGGAAGTAATTTAAAGTTTTGCTTTAAAATGTCCATAAATGTGACCATTTAAGATTTTCATGAGCCATTAAATCTGTAATTGAAAATACTGTGATAAATCATATGTGATTTATTTTAGAATATTTTTTTGAGAAATAATGTTATTGTTGTGTATACATGAATCAATAATGATTTATGATATACCTTGATTATTTGATTAGTTACAAATTGTTAACTTGTATATTGAGTTGAAAATTTTATTTTATTAGTATAGGGTTGTGAAGATTATTAAGTTTTTGTTTGAGATCATGAACTGATTGATGTTAAACCACTATTGTAAACCTGAAAGCACTGGACGACCGTTTCGTTCTATGGCGAGACTCCTCAACAGTGTACATCCATGATCCCGTTCGTGGGATTCCAGCGCTTCCAGGTTTTTAATGATGGTCTAACATTAATTAGTTCATGATCTCGATCAAAAAAATTTATCTCAAGTGGAAAAAAGAAATAAAAACCTAAATAAATTGGATTGGTTCAGGTTTATTATTCATTCTAAGATGATAGGAATATGAATCAACAGATTTGAATAAATGCACATTTTTAGTTCTAAACTTTTACAGTAGTATTTCACTAAAAAAGATATTGTTTATACAAAAGAAAAGTCACCTTTATAGTCACCTATGATAAGGTACTTAGGGAAAAAGTGATTAAGATACAAATGTTTTAGTTGATAATAAACGTAATTCAAGATGAACGGGCAATATCATGGGGTGGTTGAATTTAAACATTAATATAGTCGGATGCCAGTTTAATGGTCTAGAGGTTAGGCGTTTGTGCACGAGACCAAAGGTGTTGGGTGTGAATCCTGCGTGGAGGGACGTGGATACACACTGTTGGAGAGTTCTATACTAGGATGAAATGGCTGTCAAACGAGTCCAGATTTTAAACAGTAGTCTAACATTGATCGATTCATAATCTAATATTATTTATATATTGCTATGGGAAATAAAAAAGAAAGAAATTCTTTCTTTACTTACCAAAGTATATGCACCATGTGGACTTTCAAATTCTAATAATTGTAAATTATTCGATATAGTGACCGGTTTATCATGATGCCATATAAATTTTAATTGATCAATTGTATATCCATATGAACCAATATTAACTGTACACTCTTGTTTATCCATTGGAAATTTCCTTAGATACATTTGACATGATAATGTCATTGTAATTTTTTGACTATATAATACTTGTCCATTAGATTTAACACGTAATAAATAATTTGGTTGTGACATATCATGTAAAAAACCTGATTTACCATTACGAAAAAATAAATCAGGAAGCCATAATTGATTTTTTTGTTGATTTAATAATAATTCTTTAATATTATTACTTAATTGGATATTAGTATCCCATGATAAACGTGGATCATACCATTGTTGACGTAGATAACAATTAATTGTATACTCCATTTGTACTACATTACTTGATGATATATCTATAATATGAATGAATACACTAACAATCGTTGGATCATGAGAATTTTCATTTGGTCTTTCATGTGATTTATAATTAGTTAATATATATTTTAAAATTTGTTCTGTTTGTGATTCACCGGCTAAAAAAGGATGTGATATTTCAGGAGTATATCCTATACTTAATGATGTTTTAGATTCTGATAATGATGATATAGATGAGAAAGGAGATGATAATTTAGATACTAAATTAGGAAAAATATTTGGTATAGAGGTATAATGTGATTGATTAATACTATGAATATTACTATTACTTATATGATTAATAGAACTATGATTGATATATTGATTATTTACACGATTTAAATAAGTATTCCATTTATTTTCATGTATATTAGAAGAAGGATAAGATAGATTAATAATTCTACTAATTGGCATATATGATTGATATGGATTAGTTGTATAAAAATTATATGATTGATCTACATTCGAATTAAATCGATTATTATCAATTCGATATGATTCTAATTGGGATAATGATGGATATGGATTATTTTGTTGATTATTATTATTATTATTATTATTTAATTCATTTAATTGATCAATCAATTGTTCACCAATAATTGTTTTTGATATAAATAAATATTTTGTTATGAATAAATGCATATAATAAATAGTTTTAATAATTAAATAAATAGTTTGCCAAAATCCAATGGCCATTAATCAATTATAAAATGACATAGTCGTGATAAATAAATATTGTTCATTAGATAATAATTTGATTCAAACATTATTTTCTTTTTTTTATTATTTGATACATCATTTTTCTTTTCTTTCTTTTTTTCTCCTTTTTTTTAAAAAAAAAACAAACAAAACTATAAATAAATATAATTTTGATCAATTGTTTTAAACAATAAGAAAATGATTATGAATGTATATTGAACATTTATTCTTGTTTATTTCTTTCTTTTTCCAAACGATTTAATACAGGAAAAGTAACAACGATTATTACTATTACGACCACAACAACAACAACACTAATGATAATGATAATAAAATGTAGAAAAAAGAAAACTATTTATTTAAATGAATTCTCTTCTTGTTGTGGAAAGTTGAATTCTTTTTTTTCTAGAAAACATTTTGATAAATAGTCATTTGTAATTAGTTTATTAATTAACCAATCAAAATTATCCTCAGTGATATATATATATATATATATATATATATATATATATATATATATATATATATAATACATTATACAATTATAATTTGTGTGTATGTGATGATGTGTTATTATTATTAATAATAATAATAATATTATTATTATTATTGCATCTTACATGTCTGTGAGTGAGTGAGTGAGTAAGTGCTCAAACATATTTTTTCCCTCTTGAAATAAAATTAGAAAATTTAAACACAGAACTACACACTTACACACCTATATATATATATATATATATATATATATATATATATATATATATATAGATACACACACATAAATAAATGTTTGTATGTATGTATGTATGTATATATATATATATCTCCCTAAAATAGGAATATACATAAAAGATTTTGAATGTCATCTAACATGATATTAACACAACCATATAAATATATCTATTCCTATTTATATGAATCTGATTAAATTACTCAATAAAATGACGATTGATTTAATTCATTTACTTAAATTTCATTGGTCAATAGATTATTTATTATTTTATTATTATTCACACCCACCCACCCTATATATACAACAACACAAAATTAATAATTATATTTGACCAATAGAATTTCAAGGTTAACTGGTTGATTGTTTTTTTTCTATTGTTGAAATTATCCATATTATAAATTAAAATAATAAATAAAGAACTGATAAAGAGAAAAAAAATTGATGAAAATGTGATTTATATGAAATAAATTGAATGGATAATATAATGAGGAGTTCCATACTAGGACGAAACAGCCGTTCAATACTTCCAGGTTTTTCATGGTAGTCTAGCTTCAACTGACTGATGATTTCAATCTGTGAAATAATGTAAATCATCATCATCATCATCATCATCATCATCATCATCATCATCATCATCATCATCATCATCATCATCATCATCATCATCATCATCATCATCATCATCATCATCATCATCATCATCATCATCATCATCATCATCATCATCATCATCATCATCATCATCATCATCATCATCATCATCATCATCATCATCATCATCATCATCATCATCATCATCATCATCATCATCATCATCATCATCATCATCATCATCATCATCATCATCATCATCATCATCATCATCATCATCATCATCATCATCATCATCATCATCATCATCATCATCATCATCATCATCATCATCATCATCATCATCATCATCATCATCATCATCATCATCATCATCATCATCATCATCATCATCATCATCATCATCATCATCATCATCATCATCATCATCATCATCATCATCATCATCATCATCATCATCATCATCATCATCATCATCATCATCATCATCATCATCATCATCATCATCATCATCATCATCATCATCATCATCATCATCATCATCATCATCATCATCATCATCATCATCATCATCATCATCATCATCATCATCATCATCATCATCATCATCATCATCATCATCATCATCATCATCATCATCATCATCATCATCATCATCATCATCATCATCATCATCATCATCATCATCATCATCATCATCATCATCATCATCATCATCATCATCATCATCATCATCATCATCATCATCATCATCATCATCATCATCATCATCATCATCATCATCATCATCATCATCATCATCATCATCATCATCATCATCATCATCATCATCATCATCATCATCATCATCATCATCATCATCATCATCATCATCATCATCATCATCATCATCATCATCATCATCATCATCATCATCATCATCATCATCATCATCATCATCATCATCATCATCATCATCATCATCATCATCATCATCATCATCATCATCATCATCATCATCATCATCATCATCATCATCATCATCATCATCATCATCATCATCATCATCATCATCATCATCATCATCATCATCATCATCATCATCATCATCATCATCATCATCATCATCATCATCATCATCATCATCATCATCATCATCATCATCATCATCATCATCATCATCATCATCATCATCATCATCATCATCATCATCATCATCATCATCATCATCATCATCATCATCATCATCATCATCAACAACAACAACAACAACAACAACAACAACAACGAAATTCATTTTCATAATTGAATACATGGGTTGGTATAAGTTTGACTATCATTGAAAACCTAAAAGTACTAATTAGGTAACTATAAATGGATTTGATAAGTATTGCTAATTGAACTCTATATTCAGTTCCTAAGCTATTCTCGTAACCTTCAATTTAGAATTACACAGTGACCTGAACAAGAGAGTAAAGGTGAAAAATTATGCGAGAAGCACTTTACTCTAAAGGTTCGTTTTAGTACAAAAAATATAGAATTTTTATAGTATTTTAGAAATCCTTCGGTTTCTCAAAAATTCTGGAATACTACTAAACATAGTAACAGCATAGTAATCAGACAATCAGAAACTCTACAAAGAAACTTTTTTACTTTCTTAATGTTTCTGGCTAAACTTCTTGTAAACGGTGATTGGATAAAATGCCTCTTAGTGTTTTGTGAACCTTTTTTTGTCTTTTACGATAAGTTTTCTGGATCATCCCAACAAGATTGATGGATACCAATCTAGTGGTTTAAAGATTAAGTTAAGCATTCGCATGCGAAACTGAAGGTATTGAGTCTGATTGTTGCATGTAGGATTGTGGATGCGCATTATTGGAAAGTATTATACTAAAACAGGAATAATCGTTTAATGCGCTTTCAGGTTTTCAATAATGATCTAGCTTATAACAACCTATAAATTCAACTATTGAAATTATTACAATCTTCACAAACCCCATTCTCATCAACAATATTTTTAGAAAAAAATTAATAACAATGATAAACATTGATAATTCAGTATACCATTAGGATTTAATTTAATCAGAACATTTCAATGGAGTATCCTATTGTCATTTTTATCTTTTGTTTTGTTTTTCTTTCTATGTTGTGTACAAATAATGTTGATAAATGGTAAAAATAATAAATAAAATCAATAAATCTCTAAATGAATTACTAATAGATTCGTTATATATATATTTTTCTGTTTAGAATTATCAGCTACAAAACACTCATAACAAGTTTAATTTATACTGATAATTAACATGTGCTCATTAGTGACTAGCTTCGTGAGAGAATTCTCGGAGTTCTAACGAGAAGCCGTGACCAATGGAGCTAATCCGTAGACACGGGTATCTACCTCAATACAATGGAAGATGGTAGCCCAATTTCGTGGATTGGTTGATGTTAGACACTAACACCATTGGATGCAGGCTTAGTGGTCCAATAGGTTAAGCGTTCGCGCACAAGATTGAAAGCCCTGTGTTCGAATCCCGCGAGCGGGATCGTAGATGCGCACTGTTGAGGAGTCCCACGACGGAGCGAAACGACTGTCCAGTGCTTCCAGGTTTCCAACGGTGGTCTAAAATCAGTCAGTTCATGATCTAAATCAAAAACTTAATTTATTTGATTGGATTTGATCTCATAGAAATCAATTTTTAAACTATAGTTGAGATCATGTGTCAATTGAAGCTAGGTCACCATGAAAAATTTGGAAGCACTGAATGGCCGTTTCGTTCTGTTGTGAGACTCCTCAGCAGTGTGTTGAAAAAATTCAACACCTTCACCTCTTAAAATTGATTATAGTTATATAATCACAATAAAATAGGAAATACTAATTAACTACCCAATCTTAGTTTGAGGATACTTTCTAGTGTTTATCCAAAGTTCAGAAATTATTTGAAGAATTTACAGCGAGCGCTTAATCTTCACACTGTTAAACTAGCGTTATGTTGTTTACAACTCTAACTTCAGTCAATTCGCGATATTGTACGATTATTTTCAACTACTATTAGTAATGTTGTCTCCCACCCGGTATAGTTGAACTCAACTGGCCACTGATTTTTATTAGAACTCTAATAAGTGTCTCTTGATCTTAGTCATTATTGACCCTTGATCATTTTTTTGTGTAGTAGGGTTGCATAGACTAGGAAATATTCCGGTCTTTTGTGACTATAAGTGAAGTGCACTCTAAGACAGAGTACCTACTAATAGTTTTTTATTGGAAGTTGTCATTTATCGTGAACAGAAATAAACTTCATTCAGTCATTATCAAGTCAGAAATACTAAATGACAATTTACCTACTGATTCAAACGTCTACAACAATGTCGATCTACATAGTGAACACACACACATAGAAGGGAAATTTAGATATCTGAGTAGACCACTTAGCTCAGATCCAGTAGTACAGAGTCCTAATTTCAGTTACTTTGAGTGGTTGAAGAAATATCTAATTTGAGTAAAACTAACTGGTTGAGAGTTTAACCATATCAAGAGTAAGACTGATATTACTGATGACGTTGAAATGTAAGAGTAATGAATTAAACTACTAAAACATTAAATCTTGACTTGGTGGTTTTAAGGTAAAGTGCTTGTGCTGTGACATATTATGGCATTTCGGGCCAATATCTTATGTCGCATCATAGATGAGAACTGCTCGGGATTGTTGGATTTTGATGAAACGACTGTCCAATTTTAGATGTTTCATAATGATTTTTCCCGTCCAACTAAAATATTTCAATGGTATTGCATTCACTAAGCCAAACGGTTAATCATGAGGATCTCATTTCCTATCTCGACAGAAGCAAGCTATCAGTCACTTGTGAAGAAATTCTAATAAGTCACATTCCCTTAAATTATATGCTGGTCATTTCATCCGGAAAGACAATAACTGCTTCAGGAAGAAACTATTCAGCCAACAACAACAACAGCAAAAAAACTCAGCAATACCAGAATCTATCTACAAACTATAGAACTTCGCCATCATCTTTCATCAGACAAATCAAAATAATGTCAACCAGTTAGTAATATTAAAGATAAACGCCAACTTTGAATTCAACAATCTCCATAAGCATTATTTTCTAACATATTTGAGAAATCAATATATTTACCTATATTGTATAAACAGATTATCTATAATCAATAATAGAATGAGTGACTCATCAAAATATCGAATGTATGTTTTCGAACAATCAATAAAAGAGTTGAGTAGTCTCCTTGTTATGTATGTATCTATGTGTGTATGTATGTATGTATGCATACATACATACATATATAATGTGAGTTCGATTTAAGGGTTCATTGAATAAAAGAAGATAAATATTTTAGTCATTTGTAAAATGTATACAGCAATACTGAATAATCACTATAAGATAATAAATCTATTCGAACTGATAAATATTGTGAGAAAGGCGAGACTATGATTTATGGATGAACCAATCAGGTATAACATAACAAGTCTCGAATTTTGGAGTGAAATCCACTTAAACATTTGGTGAAATAAAGTTTTGCCATTATAGCTGATGTTAGTTCGTGAAGAAAACTTTAAATCTAATTCCTAACTTTAACCATTAACTGTAAATCATAATTCTAATTCCTCACATTGCTTTATAACCTTCATTTAGTTCTAGTTATTAGGTGAAGACTTTCAAGGGCACTTTAGTGTCACTCAAATGTTGTCCATAAATTATAGTGTCTCCGTTGATCCGCATAAATCATTTCTTATTTTCAAATATTGAAAAGTAAATTGTGTTTACATAGTAAAACGTTTATTAAACTAGACCTATATTCAATAGTCCGATGAAATAATATTGAACATTTAACGGGTATATTCATGCTAAATATGAATGCCTGTTACAATATTTGGTACGGCATTCACGGGTTAAAATTATTTCTAAGTTAGATCGGCTCACGATTTCAATAAAATTCAATTATTTGAATAGTTGAGATCACGAGTCAATTGGAGCTAGACCATCATGGAAAACCTGGAAGCATTAGACGGACGTTTCGTCCTATTGTGGGACTCCTGAGCAGTGCGCATCCATGATCTCGCTCGCAGAATTCGAATACAGGGCCTTCAGTCTCTGGCACGAATGCTTAAGCTCTAGACCACTGAGCCGACAGGCATCGAACGGTGTTAATGTCTAACCTCAATCAATCCATGAAATTTTGCGATCATCTTTCATTATACTGAGTTAGATACCTGTCTCTACCTGACACGGACTATTTCCACTGGTCACGACTTCTCACTAGAACTCAATATTGACTTTCAGCATTTTGACTAGATATTATTATTTTTTATTTCTTGTTGTCAATTCCGTTGTAATAAAGAAAAATAATTCAATTTGATAAATGACCCATCAAATATTATGAGAACTCATAGTCTACATGAAATTATATTATTAACTTGATTATACGCTAAATCTGCCTGCATTAATGTTTTTTTTTTGAAAAAGTACACAAAATCCAAACTTCAATTGACTCATGATCTCAACTATTGAAATTACTATAATATCCACAAAACCCTTCTGATATGAATCAACATATCCTCACTAGTTACTGGCTTCAAGAGGTATTTCCTGGGGTTCTAGTGAGAACCAGTGACCAGTGGAGTTCAACCGAATCTGTTTTAAAATAGTAACTCACTGAAGATATTGGTGGATGTGTCGCTCAATTTCGTGGATTAGCTGAAGTTAGACATTAGCACCGTTGGATGCCAACCAGCCCAGTGGTCTAGTGACTAAGCGCTCGCGTGCGAGATTGATAGGTTCTGGGTTTGAATCGTGGATGCGCACTGCTGAGGAGTCCCACAATAGGATGAAATGGCCGTTTAGTGCTCCCAGGTTTTCCATGGTGATCTAACTTCAAATGACTCATGATCTCAACCATTGAAATTACTATAATATCCACAAAACCCTTATCATATTAAGTAAAAAAAACAAACTCGATTGGATATATGGAAGTCAAGAGGTTATTAAAAACTATAAAAATTGGTAAGAGTTCACAAATTTCCATTGATGATGACTTTAGAAGTTAAGGAAAAGGCTAGAAACGTTTCATTCAATTAACATTGAATAGAAGCTTTTGAGATTAACCTAGAAAAATTAAAAAATTATGTGTTGTATTTTTATTAAATAGTTACTTATATTGTAACTATATTTATTATATTTCAAGTAGTTTCTAGATGATCAAAGTCATTTCACAACTTATAAATAAACTGAATTTTCTCTATATAAACTAAATTTCAAGTTGAGCTTTTA